AGCAGCTATGCACTTTCAGCCATCAGACCTGTACATGTCGCTGCATCACCATCAGACTTGGATGCGGGGGGGGACTATAAGCTGGCAAGTTGTCAGTAATGCCCATGCGGGTTTTAAGGTCAAATGCAGCTTGCACAGTACTGCATCAACCTCACCACATTGCCCAGAGACAAGCAACTGCAAGATATCTAGTGTGGCCATGAGGCAGGTTTTTTACATTGGATGCCGAAGTAAACAGATTATCATCAATGTGCCAATATATTACTATATATACTAAAGTATAAAATTATTATAAAATATAAGAGAAAATTTTATTATTATTATTATAATTATTATTGTTTTGTTTAAAATTAATAGAAAGATAAATAATAAAAAAAATTGTCTAGTAGTAAAAACAAAACATCATTATAAGTGGGAACACTTTTCAACAAAATTGAATAATATTTCTAGGGTCTTTCTACAAGAGCAGTTGAAACAGTTTTTCTTGCAGAATATTCATATATGGATGAGAGTTTTCTTCATAATATTACCAATATTTGATTAAACAGTAATACATTTGAACAAACTTGTCATTACTTGAAGAGTTAAAAACAATAATTAAATATTATGCATATTAATATGTCTGATTCAATATGAAAGAAATCTTTTTTGTTTTCATGTGTTCCTGTAAGGCATTAGAATTAACCTGTTTAATGCACATACATTTCCTTCTTGCTTGAAACTAAACACAAAATCAAAATGTATGTTGAACAACTAATAAAAACACACAATTTTTAATAGCAATGCTTCACTAAAGAGGTATCCAATGAAGGATAAGTTTAATTGCATTTTACAGAGTGTAAGCCATAATGGAGAAGATTAACTCTTGTAAATATCAAGATAACAGAATTGGTGCTGTTTAAGTAATTGCTGAGTCTTGAGAAAAAGCTTTGCTATTTTTAGATCTACACTAAATGATTTTCAGCAAAGGAGGTACCTCAAGGGAGATTCTTTGAAGTATATCAATTCTCATAGATACAGACCAAAAAAAACAAAAAACAGTTTATTAGGGATAAAAAGGAGTTAACTCCACTTGTCAAATAACAAACCTAAAAGAGTAATTATATTTACACATATATTTGGAAAAGGGTCTTAGTACAAGTGAGCCAAATCTACACATCACAAAGTTTCAAGATATATACACACACGAGTGTTGGAAAGTTTTCAGTCAGTCATGAAGGGATTTGGAAACAAACAAAAACACAAAAAAAAGAAAACAGAATTCTGAGTTTTATATATATATATATATATATATATATATATATATATATATATATATATATATATAGTGTCTGCTAGGTATCTGAGAAAATACCTTTAGCTGTAAGGGAAAGATGACATATACCAAATTTTAACATTCCTATTTATCTTTCAGATCTATGAAGCACATACACATACTAAAAATACAGAGGAAATGAAAAGGTGTGCTATGTTGATGTCATTAGCCGCCAACCACAGCGACTCGGAATAGCCAGCTTCTTGAAAGTGACCAGCTCTTTTGTGTCTTAAGTTTGAAATAAGCTGCCAGCCACTGTTAGGAACATGTTGTGATGTAGAAAGTTTTTATGACCAGACTTCATAAGGATGGCCGAGTTTGTTCAGGAGGTTCAAGATATGTTGATGAAGGAAATGAGTGAGCAGCTCACTATGGCAAAATTCAGTGTGTGTGTGTGTGTGTATGTGTGTGCGTGTTACACAAGGAGATCAAGTAAATGTTTTACATAATATACAAAAAGGAAGTTCATGTCTGACAATTCCTAAGAGAAAAATGGGTTCTGACCAAAACATTTGCTGAACAAGCTCAAATAACTCAAAGAGCATGATACACAGATTTTCTGATGAGAAGAACTCTGACCAGAAGGTAAACAGGAAGAATGAAAAGTGGCTTTGCACAGACCCAACAAAGGTACTCATGGTAATACACACCAAATTCAGATCTGTGATATGAGCAACAGGGGCAATGTCATACCACCTAACTTTTCATAGGGTCTCAGTGTCTATGCCATCACATATATTGAAGTGCTGGGCATGTGGTCAAGCCCTGGATTAACAAAATGGCTCAGCTGTGACAATGCTCCCTTCCATATCATCCATGTGATCCAAAAGTGGCTGGTTAAGTAATTTCATTATCTTGTCACTCCCAGCATGTGGCATCTCAATTTGAATCTTTTGGATTACTATGTCCAAAGTGGGGTTGAAGGAGAAAACAATCAATGGTTCTATAATACAAAGGACTCATTGAAAGTGCTATCATGGATGGATAGAATGACCAACATGAATGAGATTTAGACATGCAGTTGTATCAAGGGCAGTTTTATTGAATAAGTGTTTCTACTTTTGTAAATTGAACATTTGTACAATTGTTTTGAAAATTGAATCTTTGTTTTTCTTTATATCATAATTTATTTGCAATTATCTAGCACGCTTTATATATCAAGAAAAATTTATAATGATATCAAAATAAAAACATACTTGCAAAAACAAAATAAAATAAAAATAATCTTACAAACTAAGAGAAATAAATGGTCTATTTACAAATATTACGACAAAAGAAATTCTTTTAATAAAATGCAAAAACTATGAATGGTGTAGACAGAGTTCCAGGATACAGACAGTTAAATAGAATTGGTTTCTATTTGTCTTCTGAAAACAAACAAGTGCAACAGGAGATCACTTAATCCATTCTATAAATTGGTAATTATTTTCTAACCCAGTAAAGAGTTTTGCAGATAGAAAAACGATGAAAGCCTTCTGGTCAGGTCATACTAAAAGCACTGCTTATTCTTAATGAAGTTATGCTGAATTGAACTTGATCAATAGTTAGATGAGCAAGTGTTTAGAGTTACAAAAGTACTGTTAGCAGGTTGTGGTCATGTGATAAAGTAAAATTAACAAAATTTCAAAAATGCTGTGATTAAGTAAATTTAAAAAAAAAATCAATTGTACAACATTTTAGAAAGAAACATTTTAGAAAGAAAAGCACTAATGATATATTTTTTCTTGCCATATGATGTTCTCTCAAAGTGAGAAAGTTCAGTATTATAACTGATGGCATCTTACAAAGAATTTTATAGCTTAAACTCATGAAGTTTTTTTAAAAAAATCCTGAAGGCTCCGTTTTAGAATAAAACAAAATTTTCTTTAAAATTCTATGTATAATTTCAGTTTTTCTTCAATGTTTCAAATTTGAGAAAAATTACAAGCCCTCCAACATACATACACACACATAAATTGGTCATGTATAATGACATTAAGTAGGGGATCAATTTGATAGACAAATGATAGTAAAACTGATCCTCCAGCTTATAACCAGGAAAGGTGTGGGCATTTGGCAGAGGAAGGGATTATTTTGATTTTTCATAAATAGAAAAAGATGAAATAAGAAGAATAAAAAAGATACAGCTTCAACTAACAATGTTATACATGATGCTGGCTGACAAGATGTAAGAACTAGTAAGTGTTCATTCAGATAAATATTTTGTTTGAAGATACAGCCACCCACATAACAATGATATTGATCACAATAGACAAAGCTAATAGTCTGGCTGGAAAAAGCAGTTAAATCGATGCAATGGTTTCCAAGCACAACTGGCAATGATTAGAGTTTGGTCTAAGCAGCAGCAGATGAAAAACTGCATTTTTGTGCAACTTGTTTTTTTTCCCTTCCCACTCAACCATCAAGATTTAGAATCAAAGTATCTATCTCAGCTTGTTCTTTTGTTAAAGAAATTTTTAATATCTGATCTTTGCTTAGAACATTTTTTGGAATCCACTAAATGCTCTATGATGAAGTAGTTAAGCAATACCAATCATGGTAAGAAAGAATAATTTTCTGCCATTTCTATTGCAAAAAAAAAAAAAAAACACCCAGCATACAAATGATATACAAATTAAAAAAAAAAATTAAAAGATGTTCAGAGATTTTTTTTCTCATCCTAATAATGTAGTACTGAAATATTTCTAAGCAGAATGAAATGAAGTTGTTACAATATAGTCTCAAAATTGGCTAGAATAAGGAGCCAACAAAGAGCCATACACCCACAAAATAAACTGATGTTTGCAGCAAGCTGGTAAAGTAACTTTTGGATTCCAGTTTCCCATTCGTAGGCTGTTATGTTTTCCTGATGTGAAGGCACTTCAGTTTCACAGTATACAAAGGGATACTGAGGTAAAGACTACAATAAATTATGTAAGGAGAGGAAGAGAGTTTCTGCATTGGTTGTTATCAAGGCAAGTAGAACAAACATTTACAGAAAATCTATAAGAAAAATTCACACACACTATTGATAGTTTTCCTCCACTTGTGTTTATAAAAATAATTTGTAAAATAAAAGCTGTACATTTACTTTGATAAAGTCTCTCAAAAGACAATATGCACTGATAAAGAAAATTTTTCCTTTTGTCATATATATATATATATATATATATATATATATATTAGTGCACAGTAATTACTGGTAGTAAAAACACAGTGCACAATGAAAAATGACATAGGTAAGAGATAAAGTGAAAAGAATTATATCGGTGTTTCTTACTACATGATGCTACTCAATGTTTCATGCTCAAGGCAATCATCATGTATAAACTTAGAATTTTGTCTTAACACCCCTTTATTTAATGACTACAGGAAAGATAATGGAACAGTCCATATTCATATGAAAAAAAAAAACAAGAAAAAAATGCTTGAAGCATATCAGCAGTTAATTTTTTTGATTGATTCATTCATTTTTTATGACTTATCAATCCTTTGCAGATTATTTAAAACCATAAAATATTTTTTTTTTCAGTTAATGGTTTAATTAATAAATTAACCCATGGCTAGAGGAAAAATAGGTAGCATCATACTTTTCCCAAGGGTATTTGTGTGTAAGTGAATATAAGCAACCCAACAGGAATTGGTACTTGACTCCTTAATTAACAATTTTGAACCATTATCCATTACACCACCTGCACATCCCAACTTACAGCACATGGTATTCCCAAGTGGTCACCCATTTAGGTACTGACTGGGCTCAATGTTGCTTAACTTCAATGATTGCATGGGAACCAATGTGACCATAAGGCTGCAGTTATTTTTATCAGAGTTCTATATTTGTCAATATATACCTGGTTTTATGTTTATAGGTTAGCACTAATTCCCTTCTTTTATTTAATATCTTAGGATTACCTATATTTTGCAGTATAATAAGTTTTTTTAAGAGTCAAAGATTACATCTTGCTCCATTACCATTGTATGCTTTAGCTACCACTTTCCATGATATTTTGGGTCAACCACATTACTTTCTTTTATTTGCCAATGATTTCTTTACCTTTTCATATCAAAATTGCCTATTCCATTATCTTTCCTGGAGCCATTAAGTAAAAGAGTATTAAGACAGACAAGTTTATGCCTAATAATTATCTCAGGTGCTAAGGAACAACAATATAATTATTTTTATTATATAAGCAACCAATATAAAGAATAACATTACTAATTAACCCATAGCTAGAGGGAAAAGAGGCAGATTCATATCTTTCCCCAGGGTATTTGCATGTAAGTGAATATAACCAACCTAGAGGAATTGCAGACTATAAACAAAAAGATAAATCCTAATACTTTTTATTGCAATTCTTTCAAAACAGATTGAAGAAGATGGTTAAAGCATCTGACCTGGAATTTTAACAGAAAAGAAATTAATACCAATAATTCAGGATGCAAGCATGTGATAAAAGTAAAATGCACAAGAATTACAAGTGATTTTAAAAAAATGACAAAAGATTTCAAGATTAATAATATTGAACAAAGAAAAAAGAAATAACTTTTCTTTGAAAAAGAGCTTAGATTTTCCTAAAAAAAAAAAAAAAAAAAAACCCACAACACACTGAAGTTTATATTAATCTGATTTTCAGTACCATTTATGTATTGTCTTTTAAATTCAAGCAATGTCAGCAATTTTTTATTTGATAAAAACACAAGTTTGAAATAAGCTTAAAAAGATTTATGAGGACAAAACATTTTTAATAAGAAAAAGCAAGAAAGAATGTTTTTCTTGAATTGAACAGCATCTTCCTTAATGTTAATGAAGTTTGCATTGACTTGAAAAATATAAAGAAAATAGTATTTGTTATCAAACACTTATGTTGCTTATTGGACAAAACAGATTTGTATTTTACCCACAGAAAGAAGATATATCTCACCCCACCAAAGTAAAAATGTAAGAAAACTTACATCATAGTATTCGTTACTACTGGCAGTTTTGATGGCAGTAATCCAGTCTTCCATTTCTTTCCTGCTTTCCGCACATAATATTAAGTTGCGGAATGGAGTGATCACCTGAAATAAAAAAAGAATTGTGTCATAAAAACCCTCTTCAGTAAGTGTATATCTAATACAATATCTTTTCACAACAGGAAATAGAAATTACTCAGCAACCAAAAAGTAACAAAAGAAATATTGTTTTTTTTCTTTTTTTGCCAATATCTATGTGAAAATATTAACCAAGACAGAAACTATCTGATTTCAAGCTGTAATGTACACTTACTTAAAAAAAAAAAAAAAATCATTGTCATATACAATAATGGCCTAAAGGAGTGGTCAATATTGCCCATGCAAAAGTAGAAAAAAAATCTATTTTCAATTCATCAAGACTTAAACTCTTTAAAAAATCAGTTTGAATGTAACTTTATATAAATGATTAGTCATACAACCCAAGAACAAGAGCATTACTTGACACCAAGAAGTTAACATACCTTCTGTTATCATAACAATGGAATATCTTGTTAGTAAGTAGGGAAGATAAGCCTGCTGATGTTTTTTTTTTTAATTTGTTTTATGTTAATATTCTTAGATATTTTTACTTTAACAATTTAGAAAGCAAATTTATTTCTTACACACAATAGAATTGCATAGATAAAAAAATCCTAGGTTAATCAAGCAATTGCAAAATTACATAAATATTTGCATTGTTCTTAGAGAGTTCATAAACTAGTAATGATGATAATCATTATAAAAGAGAAATGAGGAATATTTCAAGAAATAAAAATCTCCTTTGGCAACAATCTGCCATTATCTCAAACCTGTTTTAAAGTGTCTAGTAGTTTGTGAAAAATCTTTAACATTGCTTAATATACGAGAGTATTGAAAAGTTCTTGGCCTGACCAAAAGGGATTGTTTGGCCATATGGTCAGATTTTGGGAAGTCAGTTAGGCTGGGCAGAGATTTTTTTTTATCAGCTACACATACTAATTTGTTTGACTGATAACCAAAATGAAATCAAAAAAAAAAAAAAAAACAGAAACTCTGTAATGAAATTATTTCCCTCAAATAATATTTTATCATACACACTAATCCTACTTGAACTATTGTCCATATCTTAGTTGGTGTAATCATAATATTTCAACTATTGTACCCTCCTGTCCACTTCAGCTTTGTGATATCAGTAACTTTCTGGAAAAAACTTTATTCAATTTATGGTAGGTTGAAATTCGTTGTGTGTGTGTGTGTGTGTGTGTGTGTGTTTGTTTGTTTTTAATGGCTAGACAACACTACTTAATCTATCTCTTGCTCTTTCTTTATTCATTTCTCACTAATATTCTATAATTCAGCCTCCTCTTTTCTCTATCTTCTAGCCTCTACATTCCAATATCTTTTTACTTCCAGCTTATTTTCTCTCCACTTTCTTCTTCTCTTGTTTGCTTTCTTTCTTCTGAGTGATTTGAAAGGATTTCAGTCAATGGTCTTTCATTCCCAACATGACAGATATTATCATCAAAAACCCATACAAAAGCTGTTAGCTGGAGCTTATGTTAAATAAAATTCCATAATTATTCAACAGTGAATAGAAATGTTCTCTACTTTAATATTCAGAAAATATTGACCATAAATAAGAACATGCAGCACAACAAAGTTTTACAATGCTATTGTAAAATTACTTAATGTTATTTTTTCATATAATACAGGTAAACTACCTTATTTATATTAAATGTAGGCACTTCCATGAGAGTGCTAAAAAAAAAGAGCATAGCATGATGTAAAAGACCCCAAACTTGACGAAAACAATGTTTTAATGTCTAAATGTTTATGTTATTAAGAGGAAAGAACAAAGTATTTTTAATTATTTTTTTTAATTTTGTCCTCCTTTTTTAGAACATTCAACTTTTGATTAAAAAAACCTTGTTTCTCTTTGTATCAGCAGAACTACTAAATACCATAAAATTTTAGCGTTTTTTTTTGTATGACAGACATATATTTGGAAAATCTTGCAAAAATGAAAACATCAAAATTAATAATAAAATGAATGGAAATACAATACAGTAAAATGTAATAAATGTACATAAAATTATAGTATTTTAGGCAAACTTCTGATAAAATTTCATAAGAAAGGTATCTAAATTTATAGGTACTTTTCTTATGAAATTTTATCGCACTCTCAATAGTCTCATTTCTTTTATAATATACTAGCAGCATGGCCCAGCGTTGCCCGTGCTTGATTCAAAAATCGTACGACTCATACAGCAATCGCTATCACTTGACAAAATATTTTTGCCCTTCCTTGCCTTTAAAGGAGTGCCCTTTGACGTGCTGATGTTGCTACATGCCTTACTTCTTGCCTATCTCATGCGAATTTTTCTAAGCTCTATACTAAACATTAAATCTGTTACGAAAAAAGAACTAAATAAAATGAACACAAAACGATCAGCTTTAAAAAAAAGGACTCGTAACTGGAAGAACTGAATGAAAAAAGAATGTTAACAACAAATACTTTTTCACACCCAACCCAGTTCTGTGGAATCAGAATCAACGTTGAGTTTAAGCAAGCGAATGAGCCAATTGGAGTAAAGTGCCATGCAGATTTAAATTTTCCCCCACTTGTGACGAATGCAGCTATCGATTTTTTTTTGCATGCTAGCATGCTAGTTAACATTCGTGTCAGTCAGCTGTTGGCTCTCATGCTGGCCAATAGAATCTTCCTGCCTATTCGTGGCAGCCAGCTATAAGCTCTCACTCTGGCCAGTAGAAAATGGCCGCAAACTACATGAAAACTGCCGTAGAAGCATGAAAAAAAAAAAAAATCGATTATTTCCATTATCGATGGAGTTGGGAAATGCAAAGTCAGTCTTGGCCTTCCCACTAACTTGGAGCACGTACATGTAAATTTTGGTGCAAATCTGTTGAAAATTGCGGCTGTGCATTCATTACGCACACACACACATCCTGCCTTTTATTTTATATATATATATATATATATATATTGTATTGAGCACTTTTTTTATTATTTTAGCTGTTGGTAGGGAGAGCTTTACCTTTGATTGTGGTAGATGCTATTTTCAGTACCCTAATTATTTTATTAGATGTTTTTGTCAGTACCCTAATTATTTTATATTCAATGTTTTAGGGGGTTTTTTTTTAAGCATTTCACCCCAAGCAAGTCAGAAGTGCCATTATCACACAGGGGGTTATGGAGAGTGAAAATGAGAGAAAAGAGTGGGTGTAGGGGGGATAGAAGAAAGGGAAAAAAGAACAGGTATCAACGTAACAAAACATGGTGACTGATGTTGCATTTACGTTTTTGATGATTGTAGTTATCAGGGAAGCAAGTGAGAGGAATGGAGTTCCAATATGGAGAAGTGTGAGGAAAGAAACTGTTAGAAGGGCAGTTACATTTAACTATTTCAACAGTAAAAAGTTGGGACCTAGATGCCAATCTAGTAGTACACTTAAATTCATGTAGACAGGGCACCAGGGAAAAAATGCTCATCAGTGCAGTAGCCATGAAAATATTTGTAGAAAAGAGAGAGGGAAGCCACATCACGTCTGTGAGAAAGCGGCTGAAGTCAAAAAGTTAATTCAGTACCAATTACATTACAGATCCTACTTTAGATTTTTTTGAGAATATTGCAGTAAGGGAAGGTAGGGGAAAATTTTATGGGTAAAACTTTAACTGCACAACCAGTAATAAAAATCACAGAAATGCAATCTATGTTGTTATTCATTTAAACATCATCATCATTTAATAGTAATAAAAAATATATATATAATATATTTAAAGTAATAAGAATAGTAATAAAAGTAATAGACAGATACACACATATACAATACACACATACATATATAAACTTACATAGTTACAAACCTAATATATATTTTTCAGTGTTTGATGCAAAATAAATGTCTATTTTTAAGTCTATATAAACTTATTTTTATGATGACATTTAAGTATAAATTCTGGTTCAATAACTGGCTTGTATTTTTGTACTTAATTATTTTAATTTTTTTTTCCAGGCATAGTTTGTTTTTATATATATATTTATATATATATATATATATATATATATATATATATATATATATATAATTAAGATCAAATATAGATAGGAATGCAATTTTTTTTGTATTCTGTTTTCTTTTATAATTTCTTCTTTCATGTTATTGTCTCTTCCTCTGTATATTTATTTACGAGGGTCAGCCAGGTGGAGGTGAGAGGGGGAGCACATCACTCTACCCCAGAGCCAAATTGCTTGGTGGAAGAAATCAGCTGTGTTTATGTCAGTTGCTGTTAGCATTGTTGCTGGTTGGCAATATCTTTTGGTTGATGACTAAAAATTAACTTCCGCATTTTGACCATACACATGGGTTTCATTTGTATACCATGTGTATTTAAAGTAGTTTCCGGTTATTATTTTTAGTTAGGAGGGCTTGTGTATGTTTAGGTTTCATTTGTTTACTTTTTATGTATCGTTCTCTGAAAAAAAAACGCTGAGTCACCAGAAGTTAACGGCATTTGGACATTTGAGTAGCCAGCAGTAGCTTCTGGCCGGGTGCAATACCCTTAATCGTGCTTTCAAATTGATTTTGTGCAAAAACAATTGTGTTTTTTCAATTTTTGGCACTGTCAGAACCACCGCCGGGTAATTTTACGTAGTTCTGTGAAGTTTTGTTGAAATCGGTTGAAAAATGTAGGAAATACAATCCCATATATAAACGTACAGACACACACACACAATCTGCATTTTATAATAAGTAAGATTTTCCATAAAGCATTGTAAACATAAAAGTGGAGGAAAAAAAAAAAAAAGTTGGTTCACTTAAGACTAAATAATTATGTCACTTCTGTCCTTCCGTATTGTAACTTTCCCTTACATAAGCTGTCACTACGTGATGAAATCATCACTCATGATACCAAATGTTAAGACCTGCTTTGTCTTATTTTTAAACTACATTTTTTTGGTGCAGAAAGTAATGTTTGTTTCAAAATATTTTAAATAAACTTTATAATTTCTAATTTTCTTAAAATAAATTTTGAAAAAATAATAATTGATTTTTAAAAGAATTTT